TGGACAGGACAGGATTTAAGGCGGACAGGAGAAGATTTAAAGTGGTAAGGAGCAGTGGCGTCTGGTGAGGTTTTCTCCAGGGGGGGCTATAAATTCAAAGTAGACGTATACCAAAAACCAATAAATGTACTAAATTATGACACCAGTATATTTATACGAATGCCAACAACAACAAAAAAAACCTTATAAAAGCACTTTATAAAAACGAAACCTAAATTCCTGTCCAGGTTTACTTTTTGTGCATTAATCTTGCCCTTCTGAGGCGTAAATCTGTGTTCCAATGGTCCAATATTGTGTCACAAACCTAAAAAAATATAATGAACCAGTTTAATATTTTCTTTTAGTCAGATGTACATTTTTTAATATATAAAAACAATTTTCTGAGAATGTGCTTATTTAACAGCAACTATCCAATGAACAAACATCTAGAAAACGTCGACTAGATTCTATTATTTTCCATGTGAATCCCAGGTTGTTCTTTCTTCTTTGCCTTTTCTATAAAGTGCTTTAAATCCGTCCTAGCTGTCTTTATCTACGCTGGATCAGATCCTGACCTTTGGAAAGGAGGAAGAATAAAGCCTTCAGGCTGATTTATACTTTGAAACTAACCAATCCGCCGGAAAATTGAATGACGCCTTACTAGTCATTAAAGATTAAATCTGTATCTTGGAGATCTAAGAAATACATATATTTTGAAATCTTTTAAATGCAAATTTAAAATTAAATTATATAAAAAATGTATATATATTTTTCTAATTCTTAATCAGGGACATTCGGTGGGTGAGCGGCACCCTAGCGCCCTCTATTGGCCAGCTGCCACTGCTAAGGAGAGCATTTAAGGTGGACAGGAATTGATTTAAGGTGGACAGGAATTGATTTAAGGTGGACTACAGAGCATTTAGGGTGGACCAGAGAGCATTTAAATGGGCAGGAGATGATTTAAGGTGGACAGGAATTGATTTAAGGTGGACAGGAATTGATTTAAGGTGGACAGGAATTGATTTAAGGTGGACAGGAGTTGATTTAAGGTGGACAGGAGATGATT